AGAGGAGAGATGAAAGACAAAGAATTGAAAATGTAAACCAGGCTTGTTAAGATGTAACCCCAATGCTCCAGGTGCATAGTGAAAAAATTTATTTATGACAGATTTCAAAACTCCAAAGAGAAAGACAAAGAATGCACAAAAGCATCACAAAACTGTTACATAACATTAAAACACAGGAACCGAGCTATTTAAAGAACCATAGCTCAGGATCATCAGTGTATCACGGCAACACAGTGCCACAGGGTCGAAAACATGGTATTTTAAAAGAAAAACTACCCAGCAGGACATAAGAATTAAGTAATAATTTGGTACAGAACTCTTAGAAACCATAGGTGATGTTGACGGCATTTCTCATGGAAGTGAACATGTAAAACAAGTTGACCATAATAAATGATTAGTTGAAATATCTTTGTATTTTAAAGAAAAGAGATACAACAGTGACACGGTTTCCCTTCCAGACCCCTTTGTGTGATGTCAGCATCAGTGCATGATACAGAACAGAAAGAATATCTTTGTGGCTGCCAATTGCTTAAATGTTTACCAAGAAAACATGATCACGTCTCAGTCAGGTGACTGTCCCTGGCACCACAGAACGCCCTTTGGAAACATGAGCAGATGGCATAGGTCGTTTAGGAAATCTTCAGGCACCTCCTTCTGGTCCAATTATCCTTTTCCGAAGTCTGGCTTTCCTATCATCTGTTACTTGGATTGCTAAGCAGCCCTCTTTTGGGAATTTCAAAACACTTCCCATGATATGAAGAGAAAATGGGTACACAGAGTCATGGGCTACAGGTTTGCTTTCTACAGACCTGATTTGCTTTTTACCATGGCTAAATGGAAGTAATTCAGCTTGATTAAATGAAGGCGAATTCACTTATGAGATAATAATCTCAGAAAGAGAATTGAGTAAAGTTTTTAATATGGACTTTCTTAGTAAAATGTGCTGTTTGGGATGTGAGAGAAGGAATTCAGATAAGTTTTCCAGATGATTCTTGGCCCGAACCTAAGAATCAACAATAACAACTAGTAGCAAGGAACATTACAGACAAGGCTTTTCAACCCTGAGTGATGAAGAGAGTTTGGGAAGAGAGCCCCTTGAACTGCAAACTGCAGGCTCTGGGGTCATATTAGATACTAGAATTTTGACACCAAAACTTCAGGATGCTTCAAGATCCTATACTAGAACTGTAAAAAGTACACTTTTCCCCCTGGAAGTCATTTTACGTATATTATTTTTCCTCCAGATAAGTCACAAATACCTGCTTAAAACAACAGTAAACTGTGGAACTGAATAATGAAACCTGTATTTCTAGATACAGGGCAACTTTTCATCATGTCTTGGAATCAAGACCCATGATGTGCACTCTGGTTAGCATGCTAGGGGCCTAAAAGAAACCAAGGTACATGTCACAGAAAGAATGTGCTCTGGGACTTTGTTCCTAAAGAATGACTATTTGTAAATGAGACCCCCATCACAGGCTTCAGGCAGTACCCTGTTTCTCTAGCTTAGAAGTAAGGAATCCAAGCGGAGGGCTCTGAGTCCCTTCCCGAATGTGCAGGACCAATCCAGCACCTCAGAGGGAGCAGGGATGTCCGAGCCACACTCGAGGATGTAGTTGAGAGCTCTGCTCTCCTCCCCCAGCCCCCTCACGCTCCCTTTTTTTATTCTGTTTTCACTCCTTGCTATCGATTTTAAAAGGCAGTTTTCAAGCAGCACAAAAACGTTCAGCCCATGTCCTCCCTCACCCTCTAAAACAGTAGTCTTTTATGTGAATGTTAGGGTCATTCAACTCCACATCTTAGAACCACAGACCCTAGGGTAAAAAGGCAAATGTTTGCAGAGAAGTGGTCTTTAAAAACTATAAAAACACAGACTTTAGGTTTGGGTTTTACCTATTTCTCTCAGAGAGGGACTGAGTAGAGCTCATCAAAAACATAAACTCAGATATTTTCCATAGATCACACGTTTAACAATAATATCTAATCCCACTGATTAATATAAGACAGCTTTCAGATTTAACTCTTCCGGACAGACAATGGGACAATATACACTTTTTTAAAAGTCTGAGGTCTTCTTTCCAAAATAACAGACAAAAATATTTTTTAAAGTGCATGACTCAATTAAGAAAAAAGTATCTAAGAATGGTCTAATTTCAAGTTGCTACCTACTTCTGTTATAAAGCTACATGTTCTTTGAGGATTGCATTTTAATTTCAGAGTCCTGAGGACATGTCATAAAGCAAGAGAGGTGAGAAAAAACTCCTTCCAGAGCACTTCACAATCACCCTCACACTGGCATGCCAATTACAGAGGGAATGGCAGAAACCTCAGCCTGGGGAAAAGGGGAAACACTGGGGAGTGGGGACATTCGAAAGATGGAGACCCAGAAATATTTTTATAAAGACTACCTCCAGGGTAACCCATGTTGAACAAAAAAGGTCTGCCAAAAATCAGGGGCTCTCTGACATAGGAGAGACACTTACCAAAAGGAACAGAAAGCTAGAATCATCTTTACTTAAAAATTGGCAGTTTATAATTGTAAAACCTCTGTGGTGGGTAGATATATATTTACACTTCTTTTAAGTTTTCTATTTGCTGAAAATTTTTCATAATAGAATGCTGGACAAAATTAACACTTTTTTTTTTTTTTTTTGAGTCAGGGAGTCTTACTCTGTCACCCAGGCTGGAGTGCAGTGTTATCGCAGTGTCGACTTCCTGGGCTCAGGCAATCACTCTGCCTAAGGCTCCCAAATAACCTAGCTTATTTTTTTATTTTTGTAAAGATGAGGTCTTGCTATGTAACATAGGCTGGTCTCAAACTCCAGGTCACAAGTAATCCTCCCACCTTGGCCTCTCAACATGCAGGGATTACAGACATGAGCCACTGTGCTCAGCTTAAAAATTAACACTTTAAACATGCCTTCCTTTCTAAAAGTCCTATTTTATTAATGAAACAAAGAAATCCTGACTGTTCATGAAAAACCAGTATGGAATGAAATGTAATGATGCCCAGACAGTAATAGGCACAGAGGCAAGGGGAACAAATCTCTTGGACTTCCCTGATGCAGCAGAGCTAGGATTCCAAAGAAAATATGCTGAGAATCTCATGGCAAAAATAAACATAAATAAGTATCCTTATCCTTGGGAGCTTGCTATGTATGGCCTTACAGCTCCGTTTTGAGGGAAAGTCAGAAGTTAATAATAAACAAAAAAAATAAGCAAGGCTTCAGCTGACTAGAAACAGCTCCATAGAAAATTATTTTACAAAGATTATATTCAATTAGCTAAGGCATGATTTGACTTTAGTGATGACAGAGGGGTCACTCAGCAATTCCATGGGATGACCCAGGAAGGTGGCTTTTCACTGCCTAAATAGACAGTCACTAAAATAACTTCTCACAAGGTAGATAAATTTTGGCCAGTGTACTCCTCCGCACAACACACCTGCAAATATGACAGAATGGAGGTATGATGCTTCCCCGAAATTGGGAATGCTACAGCAACCCACACTATCCTTGCCTCTGGGTCTGCTCCAGGAGAAGAAGGTGTGGGATGACGGCCTGCCCCTTGGTGGGAATGCAGATACCGCTCCAGACCTTCCAAGAAGACTCCTGCTCTTGGAATTGCTGCCACTGTGTGGGGAGAGCCTTGGCATGAGACACCCAAACAATGAAGGGGTGCGCCGAAGGAAACAGCATGATAAGGGTGACACCTCAGAGGAGGCAAAGCACTCCAAAATCCTAGAATCCCAGGAGACCCCTGACTGGTGAGGCAATTCCTCTGCATTAATCCCCGGAGCACGGGCAGATTCCCACTCCACTTAGAATCCTCACAGGAAAACTGGGCTGTACCCTCCTAAACAGGGCTGGGTGGGCATCATAAACCCCAGTAGGGCAGATGCCTCCCAAAGCATCACAGGAGCGGACCTGCAAAAATCAAACAGGTTCACTTCCCCAATTCTCTAACAATACCATCCTCCCTTCACAGAAGAGGTGGCTTCCATGGCTCAGAACAGATGGGAAGCCTTCTGAGAAACAGATGGAAACTATTTCAAGGCAAAATGAAATGTGCTAAAAAATAAATAAAGTAATAAATAAATCTAATTCTTCCCCAAAATTCGTAGGCAGTAACAGACATAACACAAGGAACAAGAAACAGGGAGGCACAGACACACACTACACTGAGGTCCATCTCCTCTCCTCCTGCTCCACCGCCTGAGGGCCCGGCACCTGGGGCTCTGCTGACTGCCGGCTGCAGCACCGCCTGCACTCTGCAGCACTCCTGGGCCTTGGGGTAACAGTGGGAAGGGCAGTCACCAGGGTAATGCAGCTTTGGTCAGAGAGAGAACAAATACGATCAGCAGAAGCCATGAAGCTTCGCTATCTCCTTTCCTAAGGGACTCTAAACACTTAAAGCCTCAAGCCCTCCATGCAAGAAACCTACATCCAGAAACTGGAAATCTGATTGCATTTCACTGCATCTGGTTCCAAGGCAACATTTCTCCTAGCACTCCTACTTGAAAGATAAAAAGCGTGGGGAATCAGGAGTGTGTTTTCAATACCCTTCCTCCTTTGATCATACCAAAAAAATAGCACTTGGCTTTCAAAGATGAGGGTTCTGAGATCAGTTCAGGACCTAATTTCCACTCTATCCACTTCAAAGGCCAGTGTCCAAGGCAAGGGAAACCAGTTTTCGGAAGAGGAAGTGAAGGAGGCAGTTTTCCTTCCCAGAAGACCTTGGGTTACACAGATCGTCACTTGGGATTGCACGAAAGTTCCTGCTGTAATGGCACAGACACACAGGAAAGAGAAAAAACGAGGCGCCTAACCACCAGGAAGCGTAACATCCCTCCAAAGGCAGTGAGGTCTCCAGCCTAGGTGGAGACCAAGAACCAGCAGGCAGGAATGTGGCAGTGGTGAGGGCTGGACGGAGCTTCCCAGCCAAGAGACTGGGTTCCTTCATGGACAATGTGCTTTTTCCCTCTTCTGGCACCTTAGGAAGGAAAGCGAGTGGGCGCCACGAGATGCACTGGCAACAGAGGCTCCGGGAGAGGAGAGAGCAACAGTGGGAATGAGAACCCTTGGACCAAGCAGATCCATGTCTAGAAGACCACACCCTCCTGCCAGGCTCATGCCTGGCGGGCGCCCTCCAGAGGGATTTTCCTGGAGTCCGAAGCAAGGAGAGCACGAGTCAGGGAGCACAGAACAGGCGCGCAACACCACCACCTGCAGAAGCCGAGAAGAAGAGCTGTGCGCGGGTCAATGGTCAGGCACGTGACGGCTGGGGATGGGAGCCTCACGCTGCACTTCCAGCTCCTGCCCAGCCCCAACAGCGCCACCAGCTGGCAGCCTGCTCAGCCAGCAACACAGCCTGCCCGTGCCACGGCCTCAGCTGGTGTAGTAGATGTGGAAGTAGAGTGTCTTGTTGCGCAGCAGCGAATAGGAGTTGTCGAACTTGAGCAGGTAGATGCCCTCTCCAGGGTAATCATGGCTGCCCGCCTGCACATCTCGATGGCTGTCCCGCCGGTACACAGGCATGACCTCCCCATAGCGACCCCGCAGGGAGCTCCTCGAGCCTCTCTCCACATCTCCAACTGGAACGGGCTCTGCAGGAGCAAAATGGCACAGTGTCGGGATGTGAGTTCAGAGACTGAGTCGGTCCTGCCTGAAGCTGGAAGAAGGGTCAGATGACCCCGTGGCTCTCACCGAGGGAAGCCACTGTCCGCCCAGGGGCATTTGGAAGTGTCTGGTAATCTTTTGACGACTGTTAGGTGATATCTGCACTTAGTAGCTAAGGGTCCAGGAGTGCTAGGATCAGGACAGTACCTATGCAACAAAGAACATCCCAACCCAAATGCCAATAGTGTCTCCACGTGATCTAGCCTGACAGGAGCTTTCCTAGCTCCAGAAGAATTGGACATTTCTGAGGGGGAGAAAGATTCTGAAGGAAGAATTCTGACATCTTTCATTCAGTTAAGTGACAGGACTAGCTAACGGAGATAGGAAATGCAAATAAACACGCTATGAGGAGTGACCCTAAGGCTTTCACTCGGCTTCCTGAAAAGCAAAGCTCTCCTCATCCTTAAGTCCGTGTAGACTTCCCTGTAGACCTGCTTTTCTATGAAGAAGCAAGTTAAGGGATTGATTTTAGCATTACCTAAGAAAATCAAGGAATATGACTAATGCTTAGACTCTCTTAGGATACCTGAAAAAAAACCCTTGGCCATGCTGAGTAGACACTATAAGTAATAACGGGGAAGGGGCACAGACACTACTTGGAAAGCTGCCCTGGGCATGAGGCAAGGAGTCACCAGGATCAGCCAGCTACAATAGCTTGGAGAAGGGAATCACTCAGTTTAGTTCCAGGCCAAGAGTAAATATCCCCAAACTAAGAGAAAATTATAACATAGTCTCAGATTTATCTGCAATCTAAAAACCCTACCTCTCTGTGTGGCAGCACTGACTCACCCTGTCCCTGCCCCATCCCTGCTCCAAAGGAGATATTGGGAAAACAATGAGGTACTAATTAAAAGAAAAGAAGCTTTCAACTAAGGCATGAATACCAGCCCCACCAGAATGTTCCCTGAGGGTCTGACTTTGGCCTGCACCACTCAGCCTAGTGATGCTGAATTCCTCATGTGCATTATAAGGAAGAGGACTGGCCAACCCAGGAAGTGGCCACCAGAAACTAGGTTAACCCAGAAGAGAAAATGCAAATTATGTTAAAATTCCATTTACCCTCAATCTCCTCTTCTTCTTCCTCATCTTCATCTTCATCCTCACTGGAATCACTGACCTGCACGGTTATGTCAGTGCTGGTTACAGGGGTCCAGTCAAAATAAACTCCAAAGCCAATATCATAGTCATCCGTCGCAAACTCCCAGCAGACTCGCTTCCCCTCTGGGTGGGTGGGTACCCGGATGGTCACCACCTCTCCCCGCTTCACCACCAGACGGCTGTTCTTCTCTTTGCCCAGCTTGCTTTTGAATTCCTTCACCTTGGCAAAGGTCCAGATGCATGGAGGAGCCATCAGAGGTGGGGAGACTGAAAGGACAGACAGCTTACTACTGACAAACATTAGAAAATGCTAGCACACCTGGCATTCTGCTGAGAGAGGCAGGCACAGCCAAAGACAATCTTTCTACTGACGTCTCTGACTTCCCTTCACAAGTCATTTTCTTTCATTCCCTCTGTCTGCCTGCCTTTCTTTAAGTATCTACTGGAAACAAAAGAACCGCTTCCTATCCCCCCAAAGGTCTCACCTTTCCTGTGGTCCCCCAGAAGGTCTGCAGACTCCAGGTCAGCTGAAAGAACATCTACCGCTCCTGTGTGCTCAGACTGGATCATAACGATGTCCCCAGACCTTTGTGGAACGTGATACTTGGCTATCTGTACAACAGAACTCTAGTTAAAGGACACGTTGGAGTGGCAAATTCCAATGAACCTCTTTCCAAATGGAGGCTGCCCCCAAACCCTGCTACTGCCACTACATCAAGTTACAGCTTACCATGCTACTCCCCGTTCCTAAGTACAGGCTGCTCATAAATGCTATGAATGTTTCTCATGCCCCCGAAATGTGCCCTAGTAGAAAGATTCTTTCTTGTCCTTGCCTACCTTTGGCAACTGTCTTTTCCCAGACCCTTTACAAAACCCTTGCCCACAAATACCCTGCCAGCCTCGACTGACTACTGGTCAATGGTGTCCCTGGGCCACGCCTTGGTCCCACCTTCCCTGCACCTCCACCCTGCGGCTGCCCCACTGACAGCTCTCGCACCTGAGTGGAGCTCCACTCCCACTCCGCTGCACGCTGTCCTACTACAGTTCCCACAGGGCTCACTTCTACATCACTGTCAATCAACTCTGTACTGCAGAGAGAGGATCTGCTTGTAGTTTCTCCCTCATCTGCGGCCCACCTCGGGCTTCAGGTTGTCTTAGCCTCTGTATCACTAACAGTGTTCTATAAATAACTACAATTCACCTTAGACCACCCCAGGACTTGCATTTGAACAGTACATTTTGCCAGGTGCAGTGGCTCACACCTGTAATCCCAACACTCTGGGAGGTTGAGGTAGGAGGATCACTTGAGGCCAGGAGTTTGAGACCAGCCTGGGCAACAGAGCGAGACCTCCTCCACAAAACAACAAAAACAAAAAACTAGCTGGGTATGGTGGCGAGTGCCCATAGTTCCAGTTATTTGGGAGACTGAGGCCAAAGAATCACCTGAGCCCAGGAGGTTGAGACTGCAGTGAGCTGTGATTACACCACTACACTACAGCCTGGGTGACAGAGTGAAATCCCAACTCAAAAATAAAAAAATAAAATAAATTCAGTACATTTGCTGCCAGATGCCTGACCTGTGTGGAAGAACGCAAATAATATTTGACACTCAAAGCCCTCACTAGCTCACAGAGGAGCCTGCAATCTCTCCCTGATGGACTTCCCTTCAAATCACTCAGATCAGTGTTCCTGGTTTCATGCTGTTATGCCTGAATTTCCTGCCCCTTCTCCCAGCAATTGGCAGGAAACTAACAAGAAATCTATACCTATTGCCCACAGGGGAGAGAACATCAGTGAGTCAGCAATTCAGTTAAGAGGCCAGAATTGTATTTGCAAGAAATAAATAACTCAAGTCTATAATCCCCCTATAAAGTCTTCTCGCGATACCTGTTTCTGGAGAGCAATCCTTCCAGTCCTCATCTCCACAGCTAAATGAAGTGAATCAGACTTTCACTAGTGTGATTAGATGAATCCTTCCTTTTCCAAAATGCTACACAAAGAATTTAGTTTGCAACTTAATAGTGCATAGCCTTGGTAAAGTCACTAACAGCCTTTAGCCTCTGTTTTCTCATTAAAAATTTTTATTTTTTTAATTTTTTGTAAAGATGGGGGTCTTGTTACATTGCCCAGGCTCAAACTCCCAGCCTCAAGAGATCCTCCCACCTTGACCTCCCAAGGTGCTAGATTACAGGCATAAGCCACTACGCCCAGGCACTTTTCTTATTTCTTAAATGGGACACAATGGTATCTACCTTACAAAGCTGTTCTCAGGAGTAAATAAAGTGTTATAGATACACATGCTTGTAAACTATTAAGTATTATACAAACCCAATTATGGTACTTGGTGTTGTCTTGATTGAACTAACATCAATCATTATTGCAAGACATATGCTAATAATGATACAAACAATCCCACCTCACATCCCTCCATGGCAGAGAACACTACAGTAATACCACTGTAATGGAAGCTTTATCATAAATACTGAGTCGATCCACCACAAGAGAACTGGGGTCGCAACACAGTTCCATGACTTAGGAGGATTTGGGGAACATACCAACACTCACTGCATCACTCCATTTTTTGAATAGGTGGCTACTAGGTTATGATATAATGATGGGCCCTGTGGGAGATGCAAATAATCATTCCACAGATGACTGAAAATGAGATGCCCTGAAGGAAGCAAAGAAAACGCTGGGAGCCACCCCCACAGAGGTTCTGATTCTAACCCACCCCTTCCACAGCTGCATCCTAGTGCCTCCTCCTTAAATGTCTCCTTTTTAGACCGAGCAGGAATATAATCTCTACCTTGTTGAGGACCTGGGCCTGTTCTTCAGGCAGCAAATCTTTTTCCGCCATGGCCTGAGCCTCTGAGGCACTGGCTGTTTTCTGCAGGTCTTCCGTGACATCCTGACTCACTGAAGACACCATCTGTGACCTCTCAGGAGAAGAGAGCGTGTCAGTTCAACAGATCTTGGAAAGACACAAATGTCTTACAGAAACTCTGAAATAAAACATTTGAAGGACACCTCTGCCCCCACCCTCCCCTGGCATTTAGGCCTATTGGCACTTCAGTCGACTGCTGCCCAGGGCAAAATGACCCACAGGAAAGCACTGACCGTGCACAAAACAAAGACTGACGAACTGAGGTCTACACTCTGAGAACCACGGAAAACTACAGCAGGCCTCCGAGATGAACTGCAGACTGGTTTTCTCTGTTGTTATTTATTTTAGTTGACAAATAAAAATTTTATATATTTGTGGTATACACTGTGCTGTTTTGATATATGTATACAATGTGAAAATATTAAATCGAGCTAATTAACACATCTATCACCTCACATACTTATTTTTTTGTGGTGAGAACATTTAAAAATCTGCTCTCTTAGCAGTTTTATAACACACAATACATTCTTATCAACACATTCACCATGCTGTGCAAGATCTCCAGAACTTACTCCTCCTGGCTAACAGAGACCTTATACCACCTGACCGACATCTCCCCACCCTGCCCCACTCCAGCCCGTTATCTCCATTCCACTCTCTGTTTCAGAGTTCAGCTTTATTCATCCCCCGGGCCTACACCATTTGTTGCACACAGAATTTCAATAAAAGAGTTAGAATAAGCCCAATTCATCTCTGCACACAAAGTCACTGGGTAAAAGCAAAGGGAGGAGGCCTCGCCCAAGCCAAAGACTGATCACCCAAATACAGTATACACTGACTAGCAAGGTAAGCCCTCTCCACAGGCATCCCAGGGCAAAGGCTTTGGATGGTACCATCTTAGACCCTATTCCAGGTCACTGCTAGAGAGCTTCCTCTCTTCCTTAAGCACATTAATCAACTACCCAATGACTTAAGACACAGCTATATGAACAGCTGATTTTAAAGAGGCAAGGGAATAATGTAGGCGCTCTACCATTTCTTCTGACTTCAGATGGACTGAAAATGAGTTAAGTGCCACGGCTAGAGCACAATATCCCAAGCCTTTTGGAAATCTGCTACCAATAAAGAGTGACATAATTTTTTTTTTTTTTGAGTCAGGGTCTCATTCTGTTGCCCAGATGGAGTACAGTGGCATGATCACAGCTCACCAGTCTAAAATTCTTGGATTCAAGCGATCCTTATGAGCCTCTTGAGTAGCTGGGATCACAGGTACACGCTACAAATCTTTAGATTTCTTTTTAGAAACGAAGTCTTGCTATGTTGTCTAGGCTAGTCTCGAACTCCTGGGCTCAAGCAATCCTCCTGCTTCGGTCTTCCAAAATGCTGAGATTACAGGTGTGAGCCACCATGCCCAGTGACATGGGTTTTTTTTTTTTTGGTGTGGCAGTTATCGCAGTGTGGTCAGGGACCATTGGGGTCTTTGGGATCCTCCATGGGGAGTCTGTGAAGCCCAAACTTTCTCTTAGTCATTCTAAACTAGTATTTTCCCTTTTTTCATTCTCATCTTCTCAAGAGAGTACAGAGGAATTTTCCAGAGATCATATGACATGTGATATTGCAATGATATGAATCCAGAAGCAAAGATGGGAACCCAGCTGTCTTTATTAAACCAGACATTAAGAGATTTACAATGTCTCTCTTCTCACTACATTAATTGCTTTGAAAATGTTTTCAAGTAAACATATGTTATTTATACTAGTATGCAATGAATTCACTATTGTTTTTAAATGAATGAATAACTATATTCTACTTTTTCTAAATTCTAATAGAGTAAATATTGATAGATATAACCCACACAAACAAAAATTCTTTGTGTTTTTTTTTTTTTTTTAAGTTTCAATATTTGAACAAGTTTCTTTTCTTTTTTTTTTTTTTTTTCATTATGTGATTTTTAAGAGTAGAAGGATTTGAGAATCCCTGCAGCAGGGCATCATTTGGAAATGGTACTATAAACCTTGGGTAAACAGAAAGGGGCTTTATTTTCAAATTTATTATGTTTCCTTTCTTAGCATAAGAAAAAACACTCCTAGTTTATAAATTTCCTCTTCTTCAGATAAAATAGTCATCCTTTGGAATATCCAAATTACTCCACCCTACCTCAGGACACACAAGGGGTATTTGCTATGAGAATTGGAGCTCTGGGACACTGCAGATTTTTGTAGGTTAACTTAGGCAATCCAGTGTAAGCTGTAAATCGTTCTAGGCTGTGGGCTCATTGTAATGCTTAAACCCAGAAGTTATAGTCCATTTTTGTTTCTTGACACTGCTTACCATGTGCTTCCTCTATTAGAAAGTAGGTTTGGTGGCAGGGACTGGGTCTCGCTGTCTCTATATGCACAGCATCTGGAACCATGCCTGTCACCTGGACTCCAAGGTCCTTTGCACTCTGACCTCATATCCCAGAATCCCTGCTTTGCCCAGGTCACTGCAGCTACAAGGGTCTCAGGAATCTTGATAGTCCTCAAACACCCCCAGCAATCTCCCACTTGAGGGTCTTTGCATTTGTGGTAGCTTCTGCCTAGACTACTCGTCCTCAGATAACTCACAGCGTCCTTCCCTCAGTTTCTGCTGAGGGTTCCCAGAGGGCCATATATAAAATGGCTCACCCCTCCCTGGCCCCATCATTCTCTCTACCTTTACCAGTTTCATTGGTCTTCACCACACTTATTACTGCCTGACATGATATGGACCATATTTTGTTGACTGAAAAATGCACATGTTTTTAGACTGCAATACAACCAACAGATAGGCTATCTTAAAAACTGATGGTGTCTTTAAAACTGCCATGGGCCTGGGACTGACATTAAGGCCTTCCATCGGAGACCATCGTTTGCTTCTGCAGGTGCTCAGGCATGCTATCATCATCCTGAAATGACTTGAAATGCTCTGTTTAAGGGTTCTATTGAGCCCACCCTAACAGAGTGAGTTTAGATAACAAACTGATGAATACCATTGGTTCATACTCTCAGGGGAGATATTTTTCCTCCCATTACACAGTGCCAAGTTTAAGACAATCAAGTTTCTTTGCTATCCTTCTCAGTGTGGAAGGATTATTTTCTTTGTCTATCTTTTCATTGCAAGTGCAGGCTCTTGGTGCTCCAGCTCCCTGGGGGGTCTCCTATTAGACCCTCTATCTTAAGCATTGTTTCCTTTATTGGTAGTACATAAAATAGCAGTACATCTTACAACTGATGGCATGGCAACTTAGATTCCATGAAATTCAATGTACACTTGTTTTTCTGTCTGCCTCTGCCACTAGAACACGAGCTCCATGAGAGCAGCGACTTGGACTACTGTGGTATCTTTTTTTTGTGGTATCTTCAGTACCTAGAACAGTACCACATACACAGTAGACTCTCAAAAAATTTTTGTTGAGTAAATAATAGACACCCCCAAAATTTTGTTCATGAATAAGTTAGTTTTTATTTGGGAACAAAAGAGGGATTCTCCCATTGACAACATTGGGAAGGTGCGATCACAGCAGCTAATCTAATCATTATGTGACTTTCCTGTGTTTGACATCTACAGTTTAATCTCTTCTTTGCCTTTGTGCATGCTACTTTAAACAAATATGGTTCTGCTTATTTTAAAATATTTTAAACAGGATATGCAACAGCCACATGAATCTAATATTCACATTAGCATTTTATGCTCTGGAGAATTCACGAAGGGTATTTTGGGAAAGCTAAATTGCAAATTACTTGATGCTGGTGATAAGCCACGTAAAGGAAAAAACTCTGCTTTCAGTTTGTGGTTTGTCCTGACCTGGTGCACGGAGGTCACTGCCATGGGCAGGAGAGCCTGGCTGGCTGCATGCTTTGCCAGGAAAGACAGAGGGCCATGTCATTTCCATTCCCAACAGACGCAAAACACAATACTGAGCTCCAGACATCATATTTGCTGGATTTTTTGCTTCACTTGCTGGATTTTAGGAATAAAACTTTAAAATTAAATCTCCTTTTGTCTAAGAATGTTCTGTGTTTCTCTCTCAAAACAAGCTATCAACTCTTGGGAGGGAGATGAAATAGTTCTGTGCACTTGGATGATGGACCTCCTAAATACCCTGACTTGATCACTATGCATTTTATACTTATAAAAAATGTTACATGTACCCCATAAATTTGCACGATTTTTTAAAAGAAACAGTTCTGTGCCAAAACCATTCCCCCAAAATCCCTCGAATCAACATGTGCAGAAAAGAGAGGATGGCAAGAAGATGAAGAGGTTCTCCTCAGGAGATGTAGTAAGGACATGAATGGTCCAAAGCCCGAGAAGGCTGTGTCTCCTGAAAGGACCGTTACAGATGCAACTGAGGAGCTCCGAGCACAAAGCCCAAAACCCTGTCCAGCTAGCTACGAGAATAAGCTCCAGAGCTGACCAAACCCAAAGCTAGGGAACTCGAGCAAATTGCTGAACTCACTATTTCATTTTCCTCACTTAAAAAAAAAAATAGGTATACTTATTTCACTAGCACTTAAAAAAAAATGGGTATACTTATTTCACTAGCATTGACCTGAGGATTCAATGAGCTAACACATTTAACACCTAGTACAGTATTTGGCAAATAGAAATATCTGATAAAAGTAACTATTTTACTATCATTATTACAGAGAAACTTTTAACAAAGCATGGCTATTAGATTATTATCACCAACTATATTATAATATTAATCACATAGATTATTTCATATACAAAAGCAAAAGGAAAGAATTTCTAAATAGAACTCAAGAAACAGATTTTTAAAATACCCTGATATCCTCCTCCACCCTCAGCCATTAATTTTTTGGGGGGCATGGAGACCACAGGTTCTACTGAGTGATACTGTACCATGAATTGGCCAGTCAGACTACAATACCCACTCACCCAGGGTTCTCCAAAATACAGCTTTTCATTGGTTATTCCGTTAGTGTTTCCTGGTTTCCATGCATTCTGGGGCTTGGTACAACTCTCCCCTTTCTATTATACACTCGGGTATCAGTGGTGGTGGGTGGATGAGATGGATAGACAAGGAAATTAAGAAAGACAACATAAAGGCATAATGGTTTAATCTGAAAACTATATAACAAGAGACTGCCTCCAACTGTGTATTCATGCATGTGTGTGCGTCCACGTGTGTGTGCGTATGTGTATGCATTTTATGGGTAGAAATCAACACACATTCTCTTGCAAGTCTATTTGGATCTACTTCAAATGTTTTAACATTTGAACATGGGCTTCAGGAGAAGACAAATGAGGACACTACACCAGACTGTTTGTTACCGTTTTATTCTCTGAGAATAAAAGAAAAATGTATAACCTGAAACAGGCCTGACATTGCACCTAAAACCCTTGAGGGTTGATTAATAACACAACCATCAGCACCTGTTCCTCATAATTGTCTTTCCCCTGAAGTCACTGCCCTACTTCTTGTTTCAGAAGACAAAACCTCTGGAAGCATTTTATCCAAAGCAGTTGGTTGTTCCTACCTGTGGGGTAAGGAAAGGGGTTCTGGATCAGAGGCAGAAGCCAATGGAGAGGTGACCTTGGTGTTTTCTAGATCTTCATTCTCTAGAAAATCATGGAAAGAATAAATTCAATATCTGAGAAAGAACACAATCATAATTATCCTGTATCTTTAAAAAAAAAAAAAAACTAACAGTTTCAACCAAATTCTCCTTTCCAAAAATATTCTGAGCATGACCTTTATACTCCGAGAGGCCCAGCACATAAATTATTCAAGTCATCACATCCAAGTATTCTCAGACAGTTATAACCCATTTATAAAAAATCAGTCATTTTCTAGAACAAGCCCTCACAAAATCCATCCTAATTTAGGAATCACATTTCTCAGACAGACGATGGTTAAATTAGGCAGAACACAGAGGACAGAGTATAGAGAATGAAATGAACTTAGCTTCTAAGTACGGAGTGTTGCCTCTAGACAGTCAAGAAGCTCAGATCCGTGTATTCAAGGTCAGGTAACAGGACTTTTGTAATTCCATTCATGTATTCAATCACTCATCCAAAAATGATTTACTGAATAACTAGGCAACCCTCAAGGAGTATACAGGTGAAACGCATAACGAAGGCCACATCCCCAAGCTCCCAGCAAGACTGTGGTGGTATGATCATTGACATTTTGTAGGTAAGAAAACTAAGGCATGGGAACAGGATTCAAGCCCAGGCAGTGGAGCTCTGAACCACCATAAGGTGCGACTTAGTTTTGTGGCCGATTCATTCAGCCGCTCCTCAGATAGTCAGACAGCATTTAGACAGCCCCATGTTTAACCCTCTCTGGTTAAGACAGAAACTTAAGTCCAAAGGCTACTTCTCAATACAAAATAAAACTTAATGAAGTAAGCCTCAACACTGGAAGTGTCCGAGTTTGGCAGTAAAATAAAAGTGATAATGACAGGTGAGAGGACAAAAATAGACTTAGGAGCTATTGAGAGACCCAAGAAACCAAGAAACTTAAAAAACAATACTTGCTGTAAAAGTAGTGTTTAGTTCACTATATTTCATATATCCCTACCTCATGTTTACTATATATTTTGTGTATTCCTACCTCATGTATTTTATGAAATCTTAGTACTTTAAATTCTACCTCAAATGAAATCTTAGTACTTTAAATCCTACCTCAGACCCCATAGAATTAGGCATATGTCGGGTGCCAGGTCGTGACCAATTGTATAATGGCGTAAGTAGTGTTTATATTTAGAACTCTTGGGTTAAGCATTGTCAGCCCCAAATTAGTGGGCTAACTTCTGCTTTTACAATGGGATGTAAATGATAAAGCAATAAGCCCATTTCAGACATTCCTACAAGGTGGCAGCAGACTCAGAGGCGTCAGCTGCTCTCTATCACCGGTTTTTATCCCAGTGATAATTTACACACAGTGGCTATGTAAACCTGAAGGGAACAAAGACTTGTATAAAAGAAACCGCCTTGCTATAATACGCTTGTGATATTTTATAAATTCCCAGAATTAGTATATGAATTTCTACCCCACATTCACTGTATGTGTTTGCAGCATTCATATTTAAAACTTTGTTAAGTTTGGCTTTTGTTGTCCCATAATGACCATGTTATGTTATGTAAATGTTAAGCAAACAAGCTTTCCTAAGCATACCTTGGGATGGAAACCTAAAGGGCTAATGTAACCCTTTGCCTGCCGGCTCAGGTTACTTCATATGCAGGGACTGTATGGACCTAAATTATCTAAGATTCCACTCTGCCCGTTAAGTGGGTTTCTGTCAATCACGGACAGCACCCACCAATACCAAGTGTTCCCGTCCCCATTAGGAGAAATTACCCAATCATGAAAAATCAAGTTTAAAGTTCTTTCCCCTCCCTCTGTAATCGTGCATAAAAACTGCTTGCCATTGTGGATCGGGGCTCTGGTCCATGAAGCCTCTACAGGCTTCATGCGTGAGCCCAGACTCGAGCCTGAATAAAGACCCTCGTGTGTTTGCATCGGAGCTGGCTCTTTGTGGTCTCTATCTCTCTCATTAGAGTCCCGGGTTCAACACAGGCAAATACCTGTGATCCAGTCTTAATCTTGGCTCATTTTTTTGTATGTGACAAAGATTGTTCTCTTGGTCAATTCAGTTTCATAGGTAGAAAGACCTTTGCACTCCTGCCACCCAATTTTCCTCCCAACAGAAGAAATGAGTCTGAGACGCTGGCCAGCTGCTCCCAGCCTCTGCCCCTCTGGAAGAGGCTCATTTCCCTGAGGTACATGCAAATCGAAAGTTTTCCCCTCCATGGACTGAGTGAAGGTTGCTTTCTTATCAGTTCTACTGACTCCTCCCCACACACTCTTGCAGATGTCTGCAGTCTGCTGTCACGTGTCTACAAGTTCCTTCTCCCAGGCTGGTCGCCTCCACCCCTCAAAGCCTCTGACCATGCTGGCCTCGTTCGGCTGCTCCACTTAAGTGTGCTCCAGTTAAAGCAGCCAACATGAGCCAGTTTTCCAGGTGTGATCCAATCCACGCAGAAGTCACTGACCAGCACCTCCTGATAAGGACAGTGTTTCCAGACGGGACACTAACCAGGCACTCAGTTTCCTAACTGCAAACTTACTCTGTTGGCCTAAATAAGTCAGTCAAGCTCTCCAGGGCTTATAAAAACAAACTTTTCCCAAGCTCACTCTCTTATGCTCTGTTTTTGAAACAAACTTTTGGAAAATAATTGGCTTTTTAACTTAAAATCAGGACTTTCTATACCCATATTATTTACTTCAAATCAACTTCTCAAAATTAAACTAATAATGCTTTGTTCACTGTAGAAAAATTAAATACAGGTAAGAAAATATTTTTGCATCTACCTTCCTTTTTTAAAGGAAACTTTATTTCCAACTTTTTGAATATACAGATAATCCATTATTCACTGTAGAAAATCAGGAAATACAAATAAGCAAAATAACAGCAAACTAACCATAATCTCACTAACCAAAAATCATCACTGTTAACATTTTGATGTATATCCCTTCAGAAATATATTTGTACATAAATACAAACACATATGTATATATTTTATATATGCATGTGTGTACATTTCTGAAAAGACATGCAATACATGTTAGTAAACATTTTTCATGAATTTTTTAGTAGATAAAAATAGGGTGATTTCATAATTTTAAATAGCTGATTAGCCGGGTTCAGTGGCTCAGCCTGTAATCCCGCGCCTTTGGGAGGCTAAAGTGAGTGGATTGCCTGAGCCCACGGGTTCGAGACCTGCCTGGGCAACTTGGTGAGACCTCATCTCTACAGTAAAATAATTAGCCGGGTGCGGTAGCGTGCGCCTGTACTTTTGGCTGTTTGGAAGGCTGAGGCAGAAGGATCACTGGAGCCCAGCAGGTCGATGCTGGGGTGGCTGTGAGGGTGCCGCTGCACTCCAGCCTGGGCGACAGAGTAAGACTCCGACTCAAAAAATAAATAAATAAATAAATAAATAGCTGATTATCCTGTAGGCTGCCTCTTTTTTTCCTTCCTTCATTCCTTTCCTTCTTTCTTTCTGAGATGAGGTCTTGCACTGTCACCCAGGTTAGAGTGTAGTGGCACAATCATAGTTCACTGCAGCCTTGAACTCCTGGGTTCAAGCACTCCTCCCACCTCAGCCTCCCGAGTAGCAGGGACAACAGGTGCACACCACCATGCCAGTGTTTTATTTTATTTTATTTTGTAGAGATGTGAGTCTTGCTATGTCCAGGCTGACCTCGAACTCCTGGCCTCAAGTGATCCTCCAGCCTTGGCCTCCCAAAGTGATTACAGGCATGAGTCACCGTGCCCAGCCTTCTGTTATTTCTTTAACCAATCCCCAAGCCTCTGTTGGTGGAGCTAGCGACTGTTTCAAACCTTTCACTCTTACAGACAACAATGCTACATTACAGGTATCTACAACCTGTTCTTAAGAACTTCCCAGGCCAGGTGCAGTGGCTCAAGTCTGTAATCTCAGCACTTTGGGAGGTGGAGGTGAGAGGACGGCCTGAGCCCATGAGTTCAGCCTAGGCAACATGGCAAGATCTCATCTCTATAATAAATAAATAAATAAATTAACTAGGCATGGTGGCACATACCTATTGTTCCAGCTACTTGGAAGGCTGAAGGGGAAGGCTCACCTGAGCCCAGCAGGTCATGGCTGTGGTAGCCATGTGTATGCCACTGCACTCCACCATGGCCAACAGAGTGAGACTCCAATTCAAAAAAAAAAAAAGAAAGAAAGAAAAAAGAATCTCCCCTGTTCACAGCCTCGAAAGTGGCAGTTCCGACGATCAAGGTACACTATGATGGCTATATCTTATTGGTTTGGGGTAAGCACCTGCCCAGAAGTCAGTTTGTCTCCCTTCCCTAGAATCTGGAGTTGGTCCTGGAGACCAAAACAGATTGTAGAAAGTCTTGGTCAGGTCAGAGGCTAAGCCTGCCAGCTGGGAGATGACTTCACAAGCCATGTAAAGGCAGATGACTAAGCAGAGAAAATCATTTTCAAAGAGAGGACAAGCACACATTCAAGTGAAGGGAAAGAGAAACAAAGGATACTGGGCCTAGGAGAAGAGGATGCAGGGCTCCCTGGTCACTCTGTGCCCCAGGAGTGTCCTGCAGTATGAGGCTGTTAGAGCCTCACAAACTCAAAGTGAGCCCTTGGATTCTTACTGTTTACATATAAAAGACTGCATGAAAAGAAGACACAGAGCTAAAATATTAATAATACAAACACCTTCATACCCATTAACTAGGTGAATTATTAGTACTTTAGAATCCCCTGCCTGATGCCCCTTCCCAAGCATATATGCCCCCTGTTCTGAATTCTGCGTAAATCATTCCCGTTATTCTTTATATATTTTAACATTTGTTGTTTAAAAACTTTTCAATTGCTTAAAATGTTAAATATACACAAAATTAGAAAACAGTGAAATGAGGCTGAGCCGGAAGGATCGCCTGAGCCTAGGAGGTCGAGATTGTGGTGACCTGTGACAGTGCCACTGTACTCCAGCCTGGGTGAGACCCCCGACTCAGAAAAAAGAAAAAAAAAGGAGAACAGTGGAAAGAAGACTCATGTACCCATT